ATTGTTGGTTTCCATAGTTTCATCTAAATAAAAATATTGTCAAGTTTTAACACCTAATATCTTGTTAACGATTGAAAGTGTTCTATCTGACTTAATAATTAAAAGAACAAATGCGTGGTTTATTAATATGGCTGTATAATATACCACCAATCTAGAATATACCGATATGTTACTAACATTAGGATTTTGTGAAGGAAATTCTCGAGAGAGTGTCAGGGTGTACTTTGAAAGGTTTCCAAATCGTCGTGTACCTAGCCACCCAACTTTTGCTGCTGTTGAGAGACGTCTTCGGGAGACCGGTTCCTTTGCTCCCAACACTGTTGATAATGGAAGAGAACGTTTTGCAAGGATTCCTGAAGTTGAAGAAGACATTTTAGAACGTGTTGAAGAAGATCCAGAATTAAGCACCAGACGAATTGGAAGGGAACTAGGAGTAAGTAAAGATGTCGTTCATAAAGTGCTTGGAGAACAATTGCTATATCCATACCATAAGAAGCCAGTACAAGAATTATTAGTCCAAGATCCTCAAATTCGTTTGGGTTTTTGTCGATTTGTTAATATGCAAAGAGAAAGAGATTCAAACTTTGTCAAGAAGGTTCTCTTTACCGATGAAGCGGATTTTACAAGAAGAGGTATAACTAATACCAATAATGAACATGTTTATGCCGTTGAAAATCCGCATGCAATAAAGGTAAACCATTTTCAGTACGAATTCAAAATTAATGTGTGGGCTGGAATAATTGGTAATTTCATTGTTGGTCCTGTTATAATTCCACGAAGATTAACTGTAGAAAATTATTTGGATTTTCTACAAAATACGTTGCCAGAATTGTTAGAAGATTTACCTATCCAACTTCGGAGAGATATGTGGTTTATGCAAGATGGAGCTCCACCACATTTTTTTTAAACGTTAGAAACCACTTGAATGAACAATAACCACAGAAATGGATAGGCAGAGGTAATGACGCACTTATATACTGGCCACCACGTTCTCCAGACCTAACACCGATGGATTACTTTTTATGGGAACATCTGAAATCCACAGTTTACAGGGAACCTGTAGAAAATGAGGAACAACTCTGGCAACGTATTCAAGATGCAATAAACAATCTTAGAGGAGATGAAGAAGTTATGGAAAGGATACATTTTAATTTTCTTCGACGTATAAATCTTTGTATGCGTGAAAATGGTGAACATTTTGAACAATTTTTGTAAAATCTCTATTTTGATTATGTTGTAAATAAATATTTTTGTGAAACCTATACACTCTAAATTATTAAAACAGAAATTTAGCGAAAACCATGAGAGTAATCGAGTCTTATCATGAGTACCTTTTTTAAAGTAAATGAGTTGCGCAATCTAAATTTAATACTCAAACTCCTTTTCTTTCATTGGCGTAGAATTTTTTAAGGTGCAATTATTTAAAAAATGAAGTTCTACGCCTATGTATTATTATCGGACAAAATTTTAATACCATTTTTTTTGCCACATAAACTCTACCAATATACCAAATTTTAGCAAAATTGCATATGCCGTTTTAAATTTATATGGGAAAAACGATTTAAAAATTGTAACTTCAAGGCCTTTTACAGACACCCTGTATTTGCCACTCTTAAGTGAAACATTGCATATGTTATACTTATACCAGGTGTTCAACTTAAAGCGTTACAGCTTACCGCTTTCTATAAAAAACGAAAGTTTTATAGTTTTGTGGGGAAAAACTTTTGGCTAAAATCGTTTTTTATAGCTAACCATAATATGGCCAACTTTTTTTTCGCGCAGCAACGTTTTCAAGTAGCTGTTACTCAAAAAGTAAAAGTCCAATAAAAAAAATATTTCCCTCAAAAGTTTCTTATTTTTCTATGTACTTTAAGAATATGTAAGAAAAAAATGGGATTCCCATTTAAACAACAAAGTCCACCTCGGTATGGCCATATTATGGCCAACTACAAAAAAATGAATTTAGCCAAAATATTTCCCCCAAAAACTATAAAATTTATGTCTGAAACTTTTTTTTCTTAAATGCATATATTTTCGGCGGTATTTGACTGTAACACTTTAAAATGAACACCCGGTATATAATTAGTTTATAATTTTTTGTATTCTGCACAAAAAACATATAGAGTGTTACCCTTACGGGTGAACTATAAAACTAATATAACAAAATAAAAAAAAATATATTAGGTAAAAAGAAAACCCAAAAAAAAACTTGTTGCTTATTCTTCATCTTGCCATACTCATGGGGCAACTTGAGGGGTCGATAGGGGCAAATTGGCTTATAGATACAAATCACATATAAGGTCACTTTGTCCTTTATATCTACTTCATTCATGCCACCTTACGTTGCACTTGCTACACATAATTTAGTCAAGGGTTGGTGGATCTTCATACTCTTCGCAAACAGGATAAAATGTAATTTTATCATCGACCGTTTCTTTTTGTTTATCCATTTGCTTTTTATATTCAACAAAGACTGCCTTCTTTATCTTCTCTTTATTTTTGTTTGTTTATAACTTCTTTTGCCTCTCCTTTTCTTCCAGTTCCTCCTTATTTATTGTCGAGGTCTTCGATTAGGGTTATCTGGACGCTAATAAAAGAGTTTGGGTTTAATATCAATTAACGTTTTGTTAAAATTTTGTTCTTCATTTTTCTAATCCTTGGGTTGGTAACCAGAAGGTCCAGGAACGGGTTCTGAAACGTTACTGCTACTAAGTTTAGGTTGGTCCTCTTTTTTTGTTGTTTTTTCAATACTGATCTTTTTCACAGCAAGTGGTTCGTTGTCACTTAATTCATCAGATGAACCAGAGTTATGTTTATTAGATTTGCAACAGGACGATCGCTAAAAGATGACGAAATAAAAACC